GAGAAAGAGGGAGGAGGAGGAGGGAGGAGGAGGAGGAGGAGGAGGGGGAGGAGGAGGAGAGAAAGAAGGGAGGAGGAGGAGGAGGAGGAGGAGGAGGAGGATGGAGGAGGAGGAGGGAGGAAACCACGGGCTCCCAGACCGGGGGTCCCGGGGACCCGGGGCCGGGGGGAGTCCCCGACCGTGGGGCCCCCAGACCGCCGGGGGTCCCAGACCGAAGGGCCCCCGGATCCCAGGGGCGGCGGCTATGGGCGCGGTGCGGCGGGGCGGCCGGCACGGCCGGCCCGGCTGCAGGAGGCAGGAGAGGGAGAGGGTCATGGGAGCGTCCTCCTCCTCCTCCTCCTCCTCCTCCTCCTCCTCCTCCTCCTCCTCCTCCTCCTCCTCCTCCTCCTCCTCCTCCTCCTCCTCATCGGGGGCAGAAAAGAAGGGGGTGAGGACCAGGTCGAGCTCGTGGCGGGGGCCACGATATTCCCCCAGGTTTTACGGCGCCTCTTCTTGTTTCGTTACGTCCCTGGCCCCCCCGCTGGGCCGCGCACGTGCCGCCGGTCACGATTTGCACCCCTCCCCTTCTTGGACATCCCCCTCTTGGCCGCTCCCGAGGGTGGTTTTTCGCCCCGTGGGCCCCCCGACTAGGAGGTCCCCACGCAGGGGGATCTCAAGACCGGGGGGGTCCCAGACCGGGGGGGGGGTCCAGACTGGAAGAGAAAAAAGGAATCCCCGGTTGAGAGGTTCTCTCCCCCCCGAAACTCGGGTCAATCATTGGGAGAGCTTTTTTCACTTCAGTAGAAGCCTCCATACTACTGATTGACTGGCACCCTTCTGAGGGCTTCCCGGGAGGCGTCTAGGGCCTCTGGGACGGTCTCTTTGTGCCTCTGGGGCGGCCTCGTGGTCTGCTCGCCAGGCCAATTTGGACCTCTCGAAAAGCCTCCTTCCTCATCCGGGGTTTCTTATGTCAGCGCTTCGATGGTAAATCCGTTCCAGAGCGTTCCAGAACGCTCTCAGAGCGTTCCGGCGAGCTCTGAGGCGGCCGCGGCGCCCGAACCGTCTTCCAGAGCCGCCGGGTCTCAGAGATTCTCGATCAAGCCTCGCCCGATTTATCCTCGCTCTGCCTTCGCATTCTCCTTGGGCTAGGGGCACTTCTAGTGACCAGATCTGCGAGGCTTTTCCGGCAGGGGACCTGGACGGGAGGGGCTGTCGGGGCCCTGTCGGCGATTGGTTGGCCAAGGGGGGTCAACGCATTCCCAATTAAGCCTACAGTCGGGGGTGATTGGAGAGGACACGCGCGAGGACACAGGACCCTTCCGAGGGCCACGCTGCCACAGGAGTGCAGGTGGTATGGGTCGCGGAGCGCAGGACCAGAGGGTGCCCTCGATCTGGCAGGGTCGACCGTTTCACCAACCCCGACCGCATCCCCACCCAACGTTGCTAGCGTCCCCAGGGCTGCCCGCTCGGGGGGGGGGGGGGCCCGGGCCGGCCGGCGGAAGAGCCCTCCGGCAGAATGAGGGCCGCCGGGGCGACCCGCGAGGCCGCCCGGCGGCGGCGGGGCGCCCGGGATGGTGCCGCTAGGCGCGCCAAGCTCCCGTCGTCGTCATCGTCGTCGTCGTCGTCGTCGTCGTCGTCGTCGGCGTCCTCTTCCTCTTCCTCTTCCTCCTCCTCTTCCTCCTCCTCATCATCCTCCTTCCGCCTCCTCCTCCTCCTCCGCCTCCTCCTCCTCCTCCTCCTCCCTCCTCCTATCCTCCTCTCCTCCTCCGCCCCCTGGCCGCGCCGCCCCTGGCGCGCCGGGCGGAGGGGCGCCGCCCCGCTGCCGGCCCCAGGGAACCGGCGGGGCCCTCGGGCGTTGGGGGCACGTGCAGCTTTCGGCGATCTCGTCGTCGAATTTCACCACCCACCAAACCACCCCCAACCCAACCCGAAGGCCTCAATTTGCCCTCCATTTCCAGTGTGGGGGGGTCGGGGAACGTTGATAAAACACATGGGACCCGTACCCCCCCCAACCCGAAATTCGGGTCAAAGTCGGGTCTCCGGGTTGGGTTGGGGTGGTCTGGTAGGTAGCCAGAATTGTGCTTGGGGGGGGGAGGAAACCGAATGATACCCAGGCACAAGTGCTCGTCGATCCCCAGGGACATGTGGGAGAACTCGTCGATTCCCAGGGACATGTGGCGGAATGAGTGCGGGAAGTGAGGGGGACAGCGAAGCTCCAG